CAGGCTGAGTTCCTGCCTCCGTGGAGCCTGATCTCTTCTCTCTCCCATTTCCGAGGAAGACAGCGAAACAACTTCACGGCAAACTGATGAATACCATGAAGTGAAGAAACAGGGTGAGGAGCCCAAGAGGAATTGGGTGATGAGGGAAGAGGAACAAGAGAGGCATCTTATTCATAAGGTTTATTTTCTTAATTGTGCATATGTGTGGCTCTGTGCACAGAGGCCAGCGGTATCCGGCCACTCTGGAGCTGGAGTTACATGTGGTGTGAGCCACCCAGTGTGGAACTGGGAACCAAACTCCTGTTAGAGCAGTGATATGATCTTAACTGCTGCAACCACATGTCTTTCCTCAGGGGCGGTTTGGAGACAGCTACTAATATGATTTTCCAACTCGCCCTGGAAGAATAAAAATCAAACTTAAATTTAATAAGAGTGGTATGAGGTTGAAGGTAAAAAAAAAAAAAGTCACATGAAGGGGCTATGGAAATGAATAATCTAGTAAAAAAGGAAGCAGAAAGGCCTTGGTTCAATCTCTAAGATTCCATGTGGAAAAGGCACTGCATGTTCGTGAGCCCAGCGCTGGAGAAGCAGAGGCAGGGAGGTCCGTGGGGCTTGCTGGCCAGCTGGCCTTGCCAAATCCTCAAGCCCCAGGTTCAGGGAAAGACTAATTAAAACAAAAATAAGAATAAGGTTTAAGGTGCAGTGTGGTTGAGGAAGTCACTGGTCATCCATCTCTGGCCTCCACATGCTCATGTACACACACACACACACACACACACACACACACACACACACACACTGACATAGATACTGAGTGGGGGAGTTGGAATAAAAAAATCAGCACTGCATTTAGTATTTATAAAATCATTTTACTGATACAATGATATTACACGTGAATATCTCTGGCTAAAACATCTCGAGTATTACATTTCCAAAGTGAGGCTCCACAGGCATATTCTGTTTAATTCTTTAAATTCCACAGGCGTATTTCTGTACTTCTCATCATCTTGAAAATTATACACAAGACTGTGAAAGCTGTATTAATGTTTGTTCAGTTCTTTCTGTATAAGTATCATAAAAATGTCAAGTGTGTTGACCCTTCAAAAAGTTACATTTTGCTTACCATAGAGAAATGTCCTATTTCTCCCTAGAAAAAGGATAATATTTTCTGATTGCACAAGCACTTTATGCATGTGCTATTTGACTCTCTATTTTGACAGCTGCCTTTCATTTGTTATTGGAGAGCCTCTCCTTCCAGCATGCTCTTTCTTACCCTTTTCTAGCCAAGGTTGGGGTCAACATTTTCCAGAATTATTCAAATTGAAGGGGTTCTTAGGAAACAAATCCCTAACTTCTTACCCTGTACAGAAAACCAAAGCAATGGTGTGTGTGGGCGTGCATGTGTTTGTGTTTGCTTATGCAGAAACATCAAGACATTGAGCTCTTTGATTTGGAAATTCTTATCTAGACTGATAACACCCTGCATGGCCAGGCTCCAATAGGTGCTCAGGTGACGTGTAAGGAGTTGAATTGTCTGGGTATTAGGACAGAGGCCACTCTTCCACAGATGGAGAAATGGAACCTTCTGTACTGTATGCACAAGAGTTTGCTCCTGCTAATTTAGAACCCATTCCTCCTCATCACTGTATGCAAAGTAGAAAACAATGAGAGCAGTGATGAATTTGAAACACTGAATTATTCACTGCCAGACTCTCCTATACACAGCAAGCCAGTCTCGGATGCTAAGGAAATGCTGAAACCTAATGATTGAAACACCCAGGTTTTTTAGATGAACAGGCTCTTCTGTCAGTGACAAAACTTTGACCGTTCTCTGATAAGCTGCTCACCTACAAATGTATTCACACTATGGACATCAGCATTTGAGCGTGGGGACACCTGAAGAAAGCACCCCAAAAAGGACTCTGTGTGCTTTAATAAGTACAGAGATACTTGGCATGACATAGGAAAGAACTTAGGATAGCCTAAGATTTCATTAGCAAGTTGCTGAACGCACAGATGAATATGCTGGGAGGCGAATGTCTGGCTCACGCAGACATTCAAAATACAGCAGCAATGCCCATAGTGCCATGAAGAGATGACCACAAGACACTGACTCAAAGGTGAGTGGTTTAAGGGTGGCATGCTTGCCCTTGAGTGAAAATATTCACTGAAATATTGGTGATGGCAGCTTCTAGAAAGCGAGACAGGCTATTTGTTCTAACTCAATTTATTTCCACAGTACTTTCATTTTTGTTGAAAGGATAATAAATTATTTCTAAAATTTAGACATTAAAGAGTAACTGTAGTTCTGACTTTCAAAATATTTTTTTATTTTTAAGACAGCCCAAGATACGGTCAGCTATTGCCCTTCTTTGCCCCAGTGACCTGAGAGCTGGTCACACTGCTGGTGGCCAAAAAATATTCCAAGGGAACACATGAGAGAGGATGGCCAGGCCTTCCCTTGTCACTCTAGGAAAGGGAGACTTGCAGCACAACTATGGCCAGGGCCTCTAAGACATGTACTGGGTGGGATGGGATCACATTCACTTCCTATAGCCCAGAATTCTGGTGGGTGGATCAGAGGAGAAATTCTTCTGATGGACAGCTACAGCGATAGGGCTAATTTAAGTTAAAGAATATCAACTGCCAAGAAGGAACCAGGGTTCTATCTGCATTAGAAAAGCACTCACAGTGAGTCCTCTTCTTGGGTTCTCTGGGCATCTGTCCTGTATCTATGGCTCTGGAGGTCATGGAGACTAAAGAGGAAGGGCTCTCAATGACTGTTCACCTGACTGCCAATTTGGAGGCAGAATCAGGTTAGCTGTGTTCCCATGAGAAGCTCAGATGCACAGACACCTGTTGGAATGCTATTTTCTCCCCGGGTGTTCTTTCCTGAACCAGGAAGTTCCTCATGACTGAGAGCCGGAGCCTTGCCGGGGCTGACTAAATCCAAGGGCTCTGCCAGCTGATTTCAAGAAGCCCTGGCATCTAGTATCCATGCCTGGAGGTCCAGCATCAATGAGAAGGCATGGTGGGATCCTTGGGCAACAACCACTTTCCCCTAAACCTCTGCTTCATCACAAAATGGGGATCACTATGGTTCTTGCCTCATGGGTGGCTTCAAGAAGATACTTATTGCTAACATGCTAGTACTTTGGAAGCTGAGGCAGGGGAATTGTGAATTCAAGGCCAGGATGGGCTATACAGGGAGTATCTATCTAAAAATTTCCCAAAAGAAGACAGTAAGCTAATACATGTTCATTGTATATTGCAATGTATGCTCTAGAGTGCTCAGGAAATGGCACTATAGATTTTATAGGTCTTTTTGATTATGTAGTTAATAGAAACAGGGAGAGAACTGGATATAAGCAGCAGAGTTGGTGAGCAACACACACACATACACACACACACACACACACACACACACACACACACACACACACATGAACATGCATGAGCTAGAGACTGCATGCTTCAGGATCCCATCCCAGCTTCCCTTACAAACAAGGGAGGGGATCTCTAGAAAAAATCTTGTTTCACCTAAATCTCTTATAAAAGTGTGTGAGTGACAAGTCACCTCTTGGGGACACGAGGAAACTGCTCCCTCCTCAGCTGCTCTCAAAGCTGCCCCCTGAAGCTTCCTCAGATCCAGACAGCTGTGAGGAGAGGCTTACACTTGCTCCAGCCATTCTGTCTCTCTCAGGGTTCATGACTCCTTGACAGTCTGTTTTTGACTTTATGTTCTTCCTCATGTTGTGAAGTATGAATCCTAAGTGTATTCAGCTTAAATCCTAAATCTTAAATGTATTCAGAGAGGGATGGGTGAGTACAGTACCCATGTTTTAGTCCATATTCAATCCATGTAACAGGGGAAACTCCTCAGTAGAAAAGGTGGGCGCTAGTGACTGATGCTGACACAGGGGCCAGCTCACTCTAGGCACCCAGTGACTCTTTTATAAACTGCCTCTAAGTGAAGATTCTTACGCTGCGTTCTCAGGAGCTCTAGGTTTGCCTGAGCTATGCTGGGCTGCTTTGTTTGGCTCCTGGCTTCCATTCTCATACAAGCATTCTGGCAGAATTTTGGGAGATACCTTTCCATCAGCTCTCCTTGTTTGTTCCTATTGGCAACTGGCACCCAAGCATGACAAATCACTGCCATGAGCCCATGTCTCTATATTAGAAAATATGAGCCGTGAGTATCTAGGGGTGACGGGGAGCATAGAAGGAAGAGAGTGGGGTTATGAAGAGGCCATGGTTGACTCTGAGGTGTCCTCTGGATTGCTGTGGAATGCACAGCTGTGGACCCAGCTGCATCAACAGAATGAGGGTGCTCTGTTGGACTGCAACCTCCCTCTGTGGCGACAGTAGGGAGCAGGGCAAAGGAGCCTGGACATGGACTCAGAAGATGAAGAGTGAGTGTCAGCCCTGGGACAGGATGCTCTGTCCCTCAGAACCACTGTTTCTCCAGCTGAAGATAAGGACAGAAATGCCTGGTAGATGAGCCCGATAAACCATGCTGTTTGGTTTAAGTAAGATGAGGTTTGAAAGCATTTTATAAATGACAGAAATCTCCGATGATGTAAGTTAGCTTGTGTCCAATGAGGTACAAGTAAAAAACAAAACAAAAAACCCAAACCAAAGCAAAACACACCCCCCCCCCCAAAAAAAAAAAAAAAAAAAAAAACAACAACGTTGTATTCAGCAGCTAATGGGATAGCTGTACGGCACTCTTTGCAAGCTTTCTCAGATCACTTTCCTAAGCTGTGAGTAGAGAGGGGAATTATCAAGAAAGAAGTAGTTCACTGTGTTCATATAACTTTTCAATATAAGGCTTTCGTATAAGACCATTGCTTCTAATACCAAACAATGAACTACACTGAGTTATAAAGATCTAACTGTAAATGAAAAGGTACATGCATATACAATCTAATTATATATGATTTCAACAAAAGCAATTAGATTATTTTCAAAGATATGCTGTAGTGGCAGCTGATCTTTAGCATTAACATGGAAATACCACAGTTTCAACTTGACACGCCACCCATTGCATGTTCTGCATTCCTGTTTCTCAGGGTGTGGTGTCCTGTGTCTGGTTGTGCACACAGACTGGAAAGCCAGAACACTCTGGAACCCCATGTCTATGGAAAGCCGTCAGCTTTTCTGGTCCGTTAGCTCTCTGGGACAGTCCTCTTCATTCTCCTCTGAGCAGGACAGGTTCAGGACGCTCATCATGGGATGGATCCAGGACGTGGTCTGTGTTACGTGGCTTGAGAAGAACAGGGGGTGCAGATTAGCCAAACAAGTACTGATCCTGGGGACTACCTGCTTCTACCCAGAAGAAGGTAGGAGCACAGCCAGTAGTGGTAAGAAGTCTGGAGATGTGTCAAGGGTCTTTTGTAGCCATGAATGCAGATGAATGCTGAGCTCCTGTCCCTCCTCCGATGTAACTGTGTGCATGTCCCATAGCTGCCTACCTACACACAACACCTTCCCAGTCTGCTTCTCTCCTTGTCCAGTGTAATAAGATGCGACTCTGAACTCGCTTCTGTTTCAGTTCTATTTCTTTCCTAATTCATTCTCCACTCCAGCCCAGGCTCTGTCCTAAACGACAAAGCATACACCGACCTTTACCTGAGACATACTTGGCTCTACCCAGTTCTAGGTTGAACACATTCTACCATGCGATTCTGGACCACATTTCTCCTCCCTAGGGAGCTCCCACACACTAACATCACAGAAGTAATTTCTCCTTAAGATTCCTCCCATCCGAACCCACTCTTCCTTCTAATTTTCCTAGATTATGAATGCATGTCTATTGTCTGCTGCCTTGCTTCTCAAAAAGCTCCTTGATGAAGGAACTGGTTTTTATCTCTGTATTTGTGGTGCCTGATATGTTCTTGGAACAAATGACTGGTGTCCTGAAGAGCACTGTGCGAAGAAGGGACAGAAGCAGAGGTGAGGAAGGGCCCATAGGGTAGGGGGTGCATTTAGGGAGTGACAGAACACCAGAAACCACACTCCCGCCAGTGGAGATGTATTTCCAGATTCCATATCCCATCTCAGCTTCTAGCCAATGACTCTTACAAGTCCACTACGATTTGCCCAGCCCCTTGGAGTGGCAGGGTGGTGCTGGAGGAACATCTGTAATAGTTTCACAATGGGTTTAAGGATTCCAGGTTGTGGAGGTGCCAAGGCCCAGATATCTTCATAGTTTCTAACGTTTGAGTGTGGTGGTAGAGAGAGGGAATGTGGTGAGGGATAGCTAACAGTAAAGCTCAGTGAAACGCCTATCCGGAAACTTACTACTGTAGAAGCTTCCTAAAATACATTCATACATAAAAGCTATTTAAATTGTGTTACATTATAACTGGGGACAATGCCAATATCATATCTAATAGGCTATCAAATAAAAAGTCCGGTGTCAGGTATGGGTTCCCCACTTTTTGAATTGTTGGTAAGTGAGGTTCCACAGTTCCCCAAGCCCCGAACATTACAGGCTGTTGCTATTGCTTTCATTCCCCCCCCCCCCCAGAAGCTGACAGTAAGACCCTGTTGCTGAAGACACGGGATACTTGAGTCATAGGGCACGGAGAAATCCCTACTGGCTAGCTTTCATGGTGCTTGAAGGTTCTATGCATGCTGCCAGGGGAGAAAAGCCATCAACAATCTTAGCCAGCCATGAACCCGGTGAACTACAATGACTGGTCTGGCAAGATATGCCCACTGGTGACACCAATGTTATAGGAATAACCAATTGTTGTCTGATTGGGTTTAAGGCATATTCCATAAGATGGAACTCACACCTGATATTGTCAATGGGGCTAAAACCGTATGGCTGTCTAGTTCATAGCTGTAGAGAAGAACCTTATACTATTATTCTGCTAAATGGACATAATAATAAATTGCCAATAAATTCTTATTGTTATATCCATATATTATTACATTCTTCAACCCTCATCAAATGATCAAAACAGAAATCCACAACTGCTCAATACACAGATATTACAAGACTACAGAGTGCTCAGCAGAGTGCGTGGCTGGAAATGGGATGTCTCCTCCACTCCACAGGCATCATTGAGAAAGAGTGGTCAGAAAGGGTCAGAGGTAGTGGATGTTTGTAATGGAAAAAAAATTGCTGGGCATGACAGGGCTATGGCACACATGAACTCACAGTAGCTGTTCTAACATGCACAGGGCCCGCACAAGTCAGCCAAAACCCCTGTCTATACAGGGAGAGGTGCACGAAGTCCCACCTAACTGAGCGGCTATCGCCAGCTCACGGCTGTAGTGGAGGACAGAGTCAGTTTCCTTCAGGCTAGCCTTGCTCCAGTGCCTTATCCTACATGCACGCACATACAGTTTGGAGCAGACTCAATGAACGTAAAACAAAAGCACAAGTGAAGCTGGGAGGGAAAAGTTATGGGGGTGGGGAAGGGAGGGATGGGAAGAGAGAAAACGGGGAATGGATCTGATCAAAGCACATCGTGTGCTTGCATAAAATTATCAAACAATAAAAAACAATACAAAAAGGTACCATTATTCTCTCAGCAGTAATCCATATTACCACTCTTTTTAAAAAACAGTTTAAAGGGATTTCTTACGAAGGCTAAATTTACTAGAGCATCACCTTCGCACAGGCTCATTTCATTTCAGAGGCCTTTTTGTGGCCTAAACAGAAAGTGCTTTTAAGGGAATATCAAGGAGTATAACTTAGAGGGCCGGAACACCGCTGCAAGGTGAAATGGAGAGCCACCATCCTGCAGAGCACACGCTTAAACAGAATGTGCTGGATGGCACTGTTCTGCCAATTTGACAGTCTCAGCATCCAGAGATTCCGTCTGCCAGCACGGTTCCACTGTACTGGCGCAGCTGAGAGTGTGTGCATTACACTATTGTAAACGCCCCTTCCCTTATAATGCTACCTGAATGGGGAGAGCAGGAAGCAAGAAAACCAAGCTTTACAAGTGATGTTCTCATTCTTGAAACAGTGACTATGCAACCATTTAGACACTGGTGAATCGGTAACTCAGAGTAACCAAAAGCAAGATTCCTGAGGGAAAGATAGAGTTATTGACTCTCTACAATTGAAATTAGAAAATTTCTACCTGAAATCTGTCCTCATTAATAACCCTCATAAAGACATTTTATTAACAAAATGTGACCTCACTCAAAGGCACTTATGACTAATCTTATAGTCGCAGTATCCTTTTTTGTACAGTAAAAGCCTACGATTGTAGCTTAATTTTATTAGTAAAGAAACACACACACACTGAAAAAAAAAAAAGCTACTCGAACACACTTCTCAATATTGAACATGCAATCCCAGTAACTGTTTACTAGAGAAATAAAAACCCAGGCAACAAAGAAATACTTTGGGTGCTTCACAGTCTACAACTGTATCTCTAGAAACAACAACAACAAAAATAATACAAACCACAGAGAACCAACGAGATAGAACTTCTGAAGCCCAGGTAGTTTGTAAAGGGTCTGGCAAAGACTAGACATTCAAGAAATGATCACAGCTAGTTTTATTGATAATTAGGGCTTTTTGATTAGTGCAAGAACACCTTGGAATTCTGCCTATGATGCTGGAGTGAAGCCAGCCTTGAGTCTACCATTTAATTTTATGTCTTGCTGAGCAGTGGCTAATGCTCTTTGACATAATCAGTATGATGAGATAATCCTAGATTTACTGGCTTTGAGAACACTCTAGTATTAGGAATATTTCCTCCCTCATTTGTGTGCTTGGTTATTCAGCTGAGGGTAGAGAATAAATCAGTCTAGCTGACTTCTCTGTTTAATTAATAAAGACCTCATGGTTCATACAGGGAGCTAGTGCTGTTTAGAATGAAAAATTTAAAGGGCTGGTAAATAAATGGAGCTGACTGTGAGACACTAAGTCCTCATCTGAACACAGTATCCCCGGCAAATGTTTCTGCAGAGACACTGCATCTGACCTGATTTGTAGAGTAATCAAGATGTATCTGAAAATCTGAAAGGCTCATAATACTATTTATTTCTAAATGATTGCCAGGTCTGTTGTTGGAGATCAATAACTATCAAGCAGTAAATTGCCAATGCTTGTGTGTTTTTAAAAATATTAGTAAACTGAAAGATACATTGTGGAATTTATTTTAAAAAAAAACAAGAGAACATGCTTTATTTTATTGGCAAAGAAATGTTAAGTGAATTATTTAAATCCCATTATAATTACCCTCCTTATATTTCTTACCTCTTAGCTAGAGGATCAAAATATGTTCTTTCAAGAAAAAAAGCAAATTTATTTCTTTCAAAATAAAAATTAAGGGCAGTTCCTAGCAAAAAGGGACTTAAGCACAGAAGTATAATAGCTTTACAGAAATTCCTTTTTAACTGTCTATGAGGGTGAAAAATGTTCTCTTGTTCATTCTCCACAGAGACATGTTTCTACATCACTATGAGTTTAGGAAGACTTATGTGGATTATTTTATCATGCCTAAGACAAAGTTGCAGGATAATGAACCAAAAGTAATACATTTCCAACGTAATTTTAATGGGGTAATTATATATAATATATAATTATTAACATAATCAGAAAGTAAAAATAGGCAAAGATTTCTTAATATGTCTTGTTTCAGAACCCAGTAACATTAAAGCACTGGAGAAATTTATAACTGGCTACAAAATGCAAGTATTAATGATGGCAAAAGGTTTGTACTTAAAAGAATATTTGTTTTAAAGAGATCAAATTAGACTTTATTCTGTGTTTATAACACTTCCTAGAAAATATATAACAGATATCAAATACTAAGATTCAATTAATTAAAGCATCTTTAGATGTAAAATTGTTTACAGGAATCTGTGTGTGTATATGTGTGTAATATTAGAAAAATTGCTGTCATTAGTCTAGTAAAATACTGAAAGCAAATTCCTGGCAAAAATAGTCATTTTAACATCTACTATTTTTTTATGATAACCTACCCAGATTGATGTTGATTACTGTATAGTAATGAAAATTAAAAAAATAAAATAAAAAAATCTCAGGAGCTCCAAAGCTTATATAATTGTTCAAAGAAAGAAAAGATTCTATTGTAACATATTACATTGTAGCCCTTCATAACTTTAACAAAACTGACCCATGCTCATCATCACAACAGGATGAAACCCTCACATAAAAAAGCCAAAAATATGTCCTACTAACCCTGCCAGATATGAACAAACAATTATGTTTGCCCTGAATCACCAGGGGCAAGTGATCAAACAGCAGGCAATTGAGTTGGTGGGGGG